GTGCAGACCACAGAGGGGGCCAGGGTTGAGCGTTGACCCATGAACCAGGAGGTCACAGTTTGATTCCCGGTCAGGGCACATGCCCGGGTTGGGGGCTCGATCCCCAGTGTGGGGCGTGCAGGAGGCAGCCGATCCATGATTCTCTCTCATCATGGATGTCTCTACCTCTCTCTCTTCCTCTCTCGCTAAAGTCTTTAAAAACATATTTTAAAAAAACAAAAAAAGAGAAAATTCATGCCTGAAATAATCATCAAAGAAGCCATGAACTCAATGACTGGTATGTTTCTGTTTCACAATTTTAAATAATGAAAAATTACTTGGACGAGCGCTTCATTCAAGATATTCAACAATCACAAGTTCAAGTAGCGGCGGTAACTGTACCTACCTTTAGGGAGTCCCGTATCTTGAATCGGATATTTGTCTGACTGCAGAAACCAACAGAAGAGGAGAGTTATTTCTAAACATCACAGTCACTTACATACACGATCACAGTGAAAAGAAAGCGTTATCTTGCGAAAGTCATAATTTTAATTAATTTATTTTTTTTAAATATATATTTTATTGATTTTTTACAGAGAGGAAGGGAGAAGGATAGAGAATTAGAAACATCGATGAGAGAGAAACATCGATTCAGCTGCCTCCTGCACACCTCCTACTGGGGATGTGCCCGCAACCAAGGTACATGCCCTTGACCGGAATCGAACCCGGGACCCCTGAGTCCACAAGCCGACGCTCTATCCACTGAGCCAAACTGGTCAGGGCCATAATTTTAATTTAAAACCTTGCACGTGTTTAGCCTTGTACTTCTCATTAGGGCTGACCCATAGCCTGCTTGTAATATATAGATAGATATATAGATAGATAGATACAGATATATAGATATAGATATAGATATAGATATAGATATAGATATAGATATAGATAGATATATGTATATATGTGGGTGTGTATATATATATATATAAATATATGTGTGAGTGTGTGTATTATTGATTTCAGAGAGGAAGGGAGAGAGAAAGAGAAAGAGAGAGAGAGAGAGACAGAAAGAATTATCACTGATGAGAGAGAATCATGGATCGGCTGCCTCCTGCACGCCCCACACTGGGGATGGAGCTCGCAACTCGGCATGTGCCCTGACTGGGAATCGAACCGTGTCCTCCTGGTTCACAGGTCGACGCTCAGACACTGAGCCCCGCCGGCCGGGCTGTATTCTTGACTTAGAGAAACCAAAGCAAGGTTGACGAGAAGCTAGTGTTGGGACAGGAGACAGAATCAGCCTTCCTAGTTCCCTCAGCTCTGACCACGACACACACTCCCTCTCCTGTCCAGAGTGCCATTCTCCCTCCATATTTCCTGCAATTTAAAAAGAGGAGCCTTTAGCCCGAGCCGGTGTGGCTCAGTGGATAGAGTGTCAGCCTGCGGACAGAAGGGTCCCGGTTCCATCCTGGTCAGGGCACATGCACGGGTTGCAGGCTCGATCCCCAGTAGGGGGCGTGCAGGAGGCAGCCGATCCATGATTCTCTCTTATCAGTGATGTTTCTCTCCCTCTCCCTTCCTCTCTGAAATCAATAAAAATATATTTTAAAAAAATAAAATAAAGTAAGTCACCTCATAAAGTACTTTTTTTTAAAAAAGAAGCTATCAAGGGAAAACCTCATCTTGGGGTTTCTAATCTTCATGTAAATGCCGAGTAATCAGAAATGTAAAGAGGGGACGCCCAGGCCAGTTTGCTCAGTGGGTAGAGCATCGGCCTGGGGACCGAAGGGTCCCAGGTTCGATTCTGGTCCAGGGCACATGCCTGGGTCGTGGGCTCAATCCCCAGTAGGGGGCGTGCAGGAGGCGGCCGATCCATGATTCTCTCTCATCGATGATGTTTCTCTCTCCCTCCCTCTCTCTTCCTCTCTGAAATCAATAAAAATATATTTTTTTTTAAATGTAAAGAGGGCATTTGCAACGGCATGGATGGAGCTGGAGAGCATTATGCTAAGTGAAATAAGCCAGTCAATGAAGGGAAAATACCACATGATCTCACTCATTCATGGATAATAGAGACCATTATAAACTTTTGAACAATAATAGATACAGAGGCAGAGCTGCCTCAAACAGATTGTCAAACTGCAGCGAGAAGGCCGGGTAGGGTTGGGGGGCAGGAGGGAGGGGGGTAAGAGATCAACCGAAGGACGTGTATGCATGCATATGAGCATAACCAATGGACATAAGACACTGGGGGGTAAGGGAGGCCAGGGATTGTCA